TCCTAAAGGGCTAGATTGATGAGTAAAGAATGAAAGTGTGGTCTAGGTATTATGAGGGTGGGGTGAGCAGTGTTAAGAAATCTGGTTGCTTAGTTTAGGATTAGTTTCAGGTTCATATGACTCAGGTGAAGGTGTTTCCATGATCTGTAATTCTGGGAGATCTCGGCAGCCTGGTTCATCCTTACGTTCGTATCAAAGAAGCCTTTAAAGCAGTGGTTCTCAACCTTGGCTGCACATTAGAATCACCTGGGAATCTTTTTAAAATCCTGATTTCTGGGCCTCATCCTCTGGAAATTCTGTTTCTTTGTTACTAATGTTGTAAATACCAGTATGCTGGTGTTCAACAGGAACACAGTTAATACTACTAGAAATGTAAAAAGAAAAGTAGAAAAAATTATAAGAATCAACCATTAGTATTCAGTAAAATGTTTTTACTGTATGCATGAGCAAGGCATTGGAAGTCCTCCAAATTTATAATATCTTTTTTTTTTGCTTTATACTGAAATATTTACTTGTCTAAGCAGCAGTCTTTTGGAAAGTTACATTTACCTCATCTCCCATTTGGGTTCTTGTGGATTTATGTCTACACACACAAACACACATCAGAAACTGTTACTGTCGATTTAGTTGGGACTCAGGAAGGACTGAATATAAGCATGTGTTTAATTTGTCATCCTTACTCTGAACTCCTACTTGCCTTTTAATTTAATGGTGTTGATCTTTTCCCTTATGATTTATATTTTTTTAACAATTTAAAATTGATTTTTAGAGAGAGAGGAAGGAAGAGGGAGAGAGAGAGAAACATTGATGTGAGAGCAAAACATTGATCAGCTGCCTCCTGCATGCCCACTACTAGGGATCAAACCTGAAACCCAGGCATGTGGCCTGACCAGGAATCAAACCAGCAATCTTTCGTTGCATGGGACGACTCCAACCACCTGAGCCACACTGGCCAGGGCTTTTCCCTTATGATTTATGTTTTATGGTTTTATGTCTTGTTTAAGAAGTTCTTTTCTACCTCAAGGTTATAAACATACTCATATTATATTTTTCTATTACATAGTATTTTAAACATTAAGTCTTAATCCCAATATAATGAAGCATTTGAAAAATATTGAGGCCCTGATAATGGCAGAGGTATTTTTTTTAAAAAAGGAAGAACAATTAGAACTTTTAAGAAAAATGAAAAGGTGAGTGACAAAGGGCCCTCGCCGGTTTGGCTCAGTGGATAGAGTGTCGGTCTGCGGGCCAAATGGCCCTGGGTTCGCTTCTGGTCAAGGGCATGTACCTTGGTTGCAGGCTCCTCCTCAGCCAGCACCCTGGTCAGGGCTAGTGCAGGAGGCAACCAATCAATGTGTTACTTTGGCATCGATATTTCTCTCTGTCTTTCTCTCTCCTATTTTCCCTAAAAATCAATAGAAAAATACCCTCAGTTGAGGATTAACAACAACAACAAAAAAGAAAAGAAAAGAAAGAAAAGTAGTACACTACTCTGCAGTGGACATTTATATGGTCATAATAATGTAAATTCTGATCATGATCCAATTATAGTGGTATAAGTATAATTTAGGATAGGGTGACAGGAGAGAAGGGTTGGTAAGAGAGCTAACTCTCCTTTTTTCTTTATGCTACACAGTCAGTTGGTACTGTTTAAAATAGATAAATCAAGAAACAGAGGTATGAACAAAGTATCCTATATAATAGAAGGTTAATATGCAAATCGACCAAACAGTGAAACGACCTGTCACTATGATGTGCACTGACCACCAGGGGGCAGACGCTCAATGCAGGAGCTTCCTCATGGTGGCCAGTGCACTCCTCAGGGGGAGCGACATTCAGCCAGAAGCAGGCTCATGGCTGGTGAGCATAGTGGTGGTGGCGGGAGCCTCTCCCGCCTCTGAGCAGCAGTCAGATAACCCCCCGAGGGGTCCTGGACTGCGAAAGGGCACAGTCCGGGCTGAGGGACCCCCACTCCCCACCCTGAGTGCATGAATTTTGTGCACCGGGCCTTTAGTCTAGACATATAGCACTAACTCCTAGAAGAAGTAGCTTTGAGTTAAAAGTTGCAGTAAATGGATACTATTCAGAATAAGCCTTTATATGACTATCTAAATTATATAAATAAATGGTACATATTATTTGTGGGGGGTTTTTGTTTGTTTTGTATTTTGAATCACACATCTTACAGAAAGAGGAAAGAACAGGAATACAGACATCCTACAGAAAGAAGAAAGAACAGGAAGGCAGAAGGAGAGTGACTACTCATTCTCTGATGCATAAATAACATACTGTATGCCTGCTCAAGACAGCGCTTGAGGTAAATACCAGGCATGCAAGTGTGGCAGGAGAATTTAGTGAAATACAAAGTTTTATCTGTTCTGCGTATGTGTGTCTTTTCTCTTTAAAACAAGCAAGGGTTTTGGCAGGGCTGAGAGAAGAGACATCCTGATGTCAAAGGCCCTTCTATCTTCATAAAAGTCTAAAGCAAGTCTGGGAAGAGGTTATGCCCTGAAGAGGCTGGAGTCAGGGAGGGTTTTTTAGATTTTTAAGACAGCGGAGGGGATTGGAGGTCTGGTCAGCGTGAACAATGTGCTCTAGTTCCCATATGCACCCTCCCATATATACCCTGCAACCTGGTTATTTTTCCCAGACCAGAAATTGAACTCATGGCCTTTTATGTACGGGACAATGCTCCTGTGATGATGCCAGTGACAGGACCCAAGTAGATGGCTCTGGGATGTATCTGGGGAGACCAAATTCCAGTGTCTCAAAAAAAAAAAAAAAAAAAAAGAGCTAAGAGTTTGGGAGTCCGGGACTAAGAGTTTGGGAGTCCAGGACCTGGAGAGCCATACCTGCTGGAACCACAAGGGCCACAGCATTCACTGGTGAGATTGATGTCCAATGACAGGATGGGGAGGGGCAGGTAAGAAGCCTCCCTTGTACCTTGTTTCTGTGACTTTTGCACAGCCCTCGGGAGACGGGATCTATTTCTCATCAGCACTCTGGTGCAGGGGTTGGGGGTAGGAATCAAGTTCAGTGAAAGAACATTTAAAAATGCAGTAACTCTTGCAGGTCTGCGTTTGTAGACGATGATCACACCTGCTGCATGAGGACAGGTAGGGAGGAGCCCTGCCTTCACCTGCCTCAGCAAACACTTCAAAGACGTTCTGATCAGTGGTGAGGGCTGTGCCATGCTGAGGCTCTGGGGGAAGCAGAAGGTGGTGGGGCAGCCACCTCCAGCTTCCTGCCCCTTTCTTAAAAATCAATCAATCAATCAATAAATCTTTTTTAAAAAATCCCCACCTAAGAATATGTTTTTATTAATTTCAGAAAGAGAGGAAGGGAGATGGAGGGAGGGAGATAGGGGGAGAAAGAAAGAGAAACACCTAGCAGTTGCCTCCCATATGCACCCCTCCCATATATACCCTGCAACCTGGTTATTTTCCCAGACCAGAAATTGAACTCACGGCCTTTTGGTGTATGGGATAACGCTCCAACTCACTGAGCCACACTGGCCAGAGCTCTCGCTTCTTTCTTTCTTTCTTTCTTTCTTTCTTTCTTTCTTTCTTTCTTTCTTTCTTTCTTTCTTTCTTTCTTAAATTTTTTATTTTTTAAATAATTTTTATTTCTTGAAGTATTGCAAAGAGTATTACATATGTCTCCTTTTTCCCCCCCTTGACATTCCCCCGGCCCCTACCACCTAGTGTCTTATGTCCATTGGTTATTCTTATATGCATGCATATAAGTCCTTCAGTTGATCTCTTAACGCCCCCCCCCCGAAACCCTCCCCAGGCTTCCCACTGTAGTTTGACAGTCTGTTCAATGCTGCTCTGCCTCTGCATCTACCCCTGTTCATCAGTCTATACTGGTCCCCATTATCTGTTCCAACCTCACTGGAGCCGTCCCAACCTCACTGGGGTGTCTCGGCCTCACCGGGGCTGTTTCAACCTCACCAGGGCCGTCCTGAACTCACCAGGGGCCATCTCGACCTCACTGGGGCCATCTCAACCTCCCCAGGGCCATTCCCACTTCACCGGGGCGTTTCGGCCTCACGGGGGGCCGTCCGGACCTCACAGGTCTCGCCCCTTTCTTGAGACCTGTTCCCTCCTTCCCTCACGTCTGGCCCCTCTGATGGTCCTCCCTTTCCTACATCAGGGTCAGGGGGACAGGAGCATCTCTTCTCTGAGGAGGAACGGGTAGAGGAGAGCCAGGCAGGTGCCTCTGGGAGAGGAGCCTGATTGACATCTGAATTCTGGGTTTCCCAATGCTGCCCTGGGAGACCTAGTCCTTGGTGTGAAGAGATCAAAGGGGAGAAAGGAGAACAGAAGGGAAGGGGAGGAGACTCTCCCAATTGGAAGGAATCTGAGGGAGTCAAGAAGCCCAGATGGGAACAGAGAGCTCACAGCTGCAATAAACAAAGAGGAGAGGACAGGGGCCCCGCTGTATTGATGGGGACAGAAGGGAGTCCTTTTGGGTTTTTGGGTTTTGGGGAGGGAATGCTGGGACCCTGGTTAGGGTGAATCTCAGTAGACTTGTGTTTGCCTGTGTTATCTGTGGGCCCAGGCTCCAGCCTCCCTCCCGGGGACCCTCCCAAAGAGATACTTGGAAGCTTGTGAGCCCCAGGCCCCAAGGAAAGGGGAGGCAGTCTCTGGTAGGGGTGGGGGTAGGGGTGGGAGTGAGAGGCCGCTGCCCATAATCAGGGAAGGGATCCCTCCAGGTCTCAGAGGCCTGCAGTGCCACTGCGGGGTGTGCTCTGGGTTCATCATCTCCCCTTGAGAGGACTTTCTCAGAGACCAGGAGCAGCCCAGGGCCCACCCTACCCATCAACTTCCCTTTTACTGCCCACAGGTCTGGGCACTTGGGCCAAGAAGAAACTCCTGGGGTGGTGAGAATGTATAATTCACCAGTCTGAGCTCCTGACCCCCCCACCCTATCCCCCCACCCCCACCCCTTAGTGACACTGGCTTCCCCAGGGACACAAATGTACAGGAACAGATACGTGGGTGGGAAGCCAGAACAGCCGTTTATTCAGTTACATATAAATGATATTTACAAGGAAGAGGTGGGGTGCAGTGGGGAGCAGGGGGGTCAGGTCCAGGGTCCTGGGTGACCTTTCTTCAGAGGGGACAGTCCTGCTGCCTCCTCTCACACTCCCTCCTCTGCCTCTCTGGGCCTCTCATGGCAGCTCAGCCATGCAGCGGGGGCTAGAAATACGGAAGGGATAGTTGCAGCAGAAGGGATGAGGCAAGGCCAGCATGGGGGTAGAAGGACTGCTCTGGGGCCCCTGAGTCCTCCCTGTCTTCTAGCCCGCTTCTTGCCCCTGGGATAGGGGCTCCAAACCCTGGTGCGGCTGATGGGGACCCCCTGAGCTCCAGGCTGGTCACTGGGCTATGGCTTTTGGGTGGTCTGTGGCTCTTCAGTCCTGGAAAGGGAGAAGAGGGGCTTGAAGGATTGATAGGCTCTTCTTCACTTCCCTCCCCAGTCCCTTCAGCTTCCTTACCTCTTACAGCCTTTGGAGCCCTTTCTCTTCTTGCCAGGCTTGTCCTTCTTACAGCGTTGGGCTGGTTTCCGTGGGGCTGGTGATGTGTCCAGACGCTGCATCAACCTCTGCACCCAGGCCTCCTTAGGGTCTGCACATAGCTCTGCCTGAGAGCGCTTCCGAGGTGAGAACCTGGAGTCGGGCATTAGCAAGCCTGTCCTAGTCTGCCCACCTTGCCCAGCCCACTCAGCTTCACCCACGCCCTCGCACCCACTCACAGGATAGCCGGGATGGGGCAGCCCAAGCTTGGCTCCTGCTTTCGGTAGCTGCGGACAAGCGTGTCAGGAATCTTCCTTACACTGTACTTGAGGCAACAGTCCTGTGCCCCTCCATCACTGCCTGCAGAGGGTGTTCACAGGGGCCAGGGGCTAAGTATAGGCTCCCAACCAGGCCTCTCCAGCCCCTTTCCCCATCCTAGGCAGCTCCCTACTTGTACCTTGGGTCCAGGGGATGCAGAAGGCCAGGACCAGGAAAAGGAGGCTCAGAGCCAGTGACTGAGCCATGGCTGTGGTAGAGGGCGAGAGTGAGGCCACAGCTGTGGGTGAGGTGTAAGCTGCAATTTGGGGTCCTGGAGTGGGTGGCCTTTTATTAACTGCCGTACATCCCTTGTTTATTTTCTCACTCATCCAGGCATTCTGACCTCCTCACCCTCTTTGGCAAAAGTCCCTGACAGAGACTGGCTCATAATTTATTTATTTATTTTTATTGTTTAAAGTATTACATATGACTCCTTTATCCCTCCTCCCCCCAACACACCCACCCCTTAGGACAGGCCCCCACCGCCTCATTGGTTGCGTTGTGCCCTTTGGTTATGCTAATACGCATGCATACAAGTGTTTTGGTTGCTCTCTTATCCCTACCCTGCCTTCTCTCTGAGGTTGGACTTCTGTTCAGTGTTTCTTTGTCTCTGTATCTATTTTTCTTCATCAGTTTATGTTGTTCATTATATCCCACATATGAGTGAGATCATGTGATATTTATCTTTCTCCAACTGGCTTAGTTTGCTTAGCATAATGCTTTTTCAGGTCCATCCATGCTGTTGCAAATAGTAAAAGTTTCTTCTTTTTTTTTTTTCTTGTTGAGCATTTATTTTTATTTTTTAATCTTCACCCGAGGATATGTTTCCATTGCCTTTTTTAAAAAAGATCTCAGTAGACTTGTGTTTGCCTGTGTTATCTGTGGGCCCAGGCTCCAGCCTTCCTTCTGGGGACCCTCCCAAAGAGATACTTGGAAGTTTGTGAGCCCCAGGCCCCAAGGAAAGGGGAGGCAGTCTCTGGTAGGGGTGCGGGTAGGGGTGGGAGTGAGAGACCGCTGCCCATAATCAAAGAAGGGATCTCTCTAGGCCAGTGGTTTTTAACCTTATAGCCCTTTAAATATAGTTCCTCATGTTGTGACCCAACCATAAAATTATTTTCGTTGCTACTTCATAACTGTAATGTTGCTGCTGTTATGAATCGTAATGTAAATATCTGATATGCAGGATGGTCTTAGGCGACCCCTGTGAAAGGGTCATTCGACTGCCCAAGGGGTCATAACCCACAGGTTGAGAACTGCTGCTCCAGGCTCTCAGAGGCGTGCTGTGCCACTGCGGGTGTGCTCTGGGTGGCACTGTGCCGGGAGCCGGTCCACCCTTGCTGCTTGATGCAGTCGCTGCAGGGAAGAAACTTCTGCACAGCATATGTTTCAAGGGACCGGGCATATATGACATATGTTTGCTCCCCTTCTTAAGCGCTATGTGTTTTAACCAGGACCACCTCCCCGAGAAAGGTTGTTTCCCCAGGTTAGGGGTTAACAGGACTAAGGAAGAGAATAAATCAGTAAATCCCCCTAGTGTTACTGAAATACCATGTACTACTTATGAAGAACTTGGGCTAAGACTGTTGGCAATAAATTTGGGACTTGTTGGGTCCACATCCCCAGGGGTCTGCCCACCAGGGAAAGCACCAAAGCCTATACCCCTGGAGACCCACTGACACAGGGCAGTCCCAGGGAAGGCAAGCAGCGAGGCTAGGAGGACATAACCTTTACTGGGTAGGATAAACTCCTTCAGTCACTTCCTTGTAGCTTATCAGTAGAGCAATAGAATAGTGACCTTGGAATAGTCCTTATAATGGAACACAGAGATTAACCTAGACAAGATTAAAATCAACAGAACTAGATAGAGACAGGATTATGGAAATGAAACTAGGAACTGTAGAAGGTTTCTCAAAACATACCATGATGTAATTATAGAGGCATGCTTATGGGATCAAATAGTATAAATATAGATGTATTAGAACAATAAAGAGAGAACCCAACCATGCTGATCAACTGAAGGCAGTCTCCATGTCTTTCCTTCTTCACTGACTCCGTCCACACCTATGGGAATGTGCTGGGGGGAGTGACTGAGGCATGGAAAACTTGCTGAGTATGTTGGGGGTGGGAACTGCGGCATGGAAAGATTACTGAATGTGCTAGGGGGAGGGACTACGGCAGAGAAAAATTACTAGATTGTCTTAGAAAAACAATGTGTTATGATTGAACCCAGCCAGGCGTGACTTCGTTTACCTCCCCTTTGTACTTGTGAACTTTTTGTGAACTTCTAAGGAACAACTAATGAAATGCTTTGTAGTTTGTTTGTTCTATAACACTGTGTAGTTCTCGAAAATAAAAAGCCTTGCGGGACCCTTGGTCGACACTATAAGCTATGAGACTCCCAGAGGGGGAGAGACACACTGTAGTCAGCTGGCCAGCTTATTAAAGGCTCTTAAATTTAAATTCTGAGTCGGTGGCCTATCTCGCTGAGTGAACCCATAACAAGAACCCCTGGATCTGCTGGGGCTGGACCCCAACAAATGGCGCCTTGAACAGGATTCCCCTAGGTAAGCCCCTCCCCATTGAGAACCCCCACTCTCGGGACAGATAGGACTCCACCAGGGTGCTGCAGACTCCCCCTATAGAGGATAAGTAGGGTAAGAAGGTGGATAGTACTGAACTTAGATTGAGAAAATGGGCCATACTGAGTCTAAGGAAAGAAGACTCTGTATTGATCTTTAGATTGAGAAGATGTGCCATACTGAGTCTAGAAGAAAAAAGACTCCGTATTGATCTTTTAACATATGCTTGCTAGCAGAGGAGTTAAGGTTACTCCCAGTCAGACGAAATGTTTTATACAAGAAGTATGTCCATGCTTTTCTGAGGAAGGAAAGGTAAATGTAAAGGCATGGGAGAAGGTAGGCCCAAGGAGCCTTATCCTTAACCCCACTGCAGCCTTTCTACCCCGGGAAAGTGCAGGATTGGCAAGGTCTCCCTGGGGTGATAGATCAGGACTCAGGTAATAGCAGAAAGCACCAATCCTATTCTTAAAATGGATACAAGAGAGCATTTGGGGTTTTTCTTTTTAATGCCTGCTTTGGATTGAGTAAATACATTTTACTTAGTTTTAACACATCAAAGTTAGTTCTTGACACAAAAAGAAAAACTGACAATTCCATCAATATAACCCCCCCCCTTTTTTTTTTAAAAAAAAGGGGGGGGCGGAGAATAATGTTATATGTTAAATTTTTTTAAAAAATTCAATGCAGAGGGTTGTACAACAGCCAAAAGGCATCGGACCTCCTGTACAATAGTCTCTGCCAACTCAGCCTGGTAGAGGGATACACAAACCAGACAAAGAGTTTTACAAGATCTAGTAATGATGTGGGGAAGAGGTTGTGTTTTATATCTTTCCAGAAGGAGCAGCCTCTGCCTCCCTCCTGGGAGGCCGAGTTAGCACACCTGACCAGTGCCTGTCTGCAGCAGATGTGCAGCCCTGAGCTGGAACCACCTGTTCATTGGAAGGATTACATGTGCCTCCTTTTTGTCTGTCCATGTGTCCCAGCTTTGCCCCACATCTCCATTCCTTTTTCTTTTTTTTAAATCTGACTACTTGTTTGCTGGTTCTTTGGCCTTTCTCCTTCTCTCCTGAACACAGCCTTTTCTAGAATCTCCCTACCCTACTGTTCCAGGAAGGGCACCTCCCTTTTATGGCCTGACTATGGGTGTCTGGTATATGCCCCATACGTGGAGTTGTCTTGTGACAAGAGCCTGACATCCTGGGCTGAGAAAGCCCTGTCCCGGGACTCTCTTGTCCTGTATTGGCCCCTCTTGCCCTTGTGTCAAGAGGGACCCTCTTCTCACAATCCAATTGCCCACAGCTGTTGCCTGAGCTCTCTATTCTTGCTGAGGTCATGGTGGCTGGTACCATGGATCTGTCTCTCACCCAAGGCGTGAGCTGGGCCCTCTCTGGAGAAGAAACCTGGGTTCCCCAAGATATGTGATCAATGCCGGGGCCCTGCCAGCAGGCGAGGGGATCCTAAGACAGTTGCTGGGCGTGGAGGCCACAGGGGCATAGGCTACCAAGGAGACAGAACTGAACCTCACATCACCCTGCTTGGCCCCGGAGGATGGCTGGTTAGCCAAAGACAGATAAGATTCCTAAGGGGGAATGACCTAAGACAGGCACAGTCGCAGAGGGGCCAACAGGAGAGAACTTGGGGGTCAACAGAGGTGGGGCACAGGCCCTCACCCCCCCCCCCCCAATTATGCAGGGGCTTGAACACTCGCCCCTTCTGAGGGAGGCCTCCTGCCCCATGGCTGCTTCTCGCTTCCCATGTCTAGCTCAGATCAGGACCCAAATAACAGGAAGAGACTTGGCCCAGCTCAGATTGGGACCCAGGTAAAGACAGAGACTGGCTAACAGCAGCTGCCCTCTCACTGCAACAGGACTTGTTTCCCATTTCTAACTTGGACCACAGGGAAAGGGGCTGAAAGGGTGAGGGCTACGCCCTCCATCTTGCCCCAGGATAAGGGCTATGCCCTCCATCTTACCCTGGATCCTCCATTTTTGGGCAGGAATGTGCTCGGCAAGGAGCTTCTTCCCGGAAGCCCAAGCCTCTGCTAGCCACACCCAGGTATGACCACATCCTCTGTAACAAGACACCGACTTGCGCCTGGCCAATCGGCAGGGCCCACAGTCCTTTCCCCTCCCCTATAAAACCCCTCCCCACACAGAGTTCTCTCTCTGCTGCTTGCCGCTGCGTCGGTGAGTGTGGTCGGGGAGCCGAGCTAGCTCGAATAGACTTTGCTTTTGCATCGGACTCGGCTGGCTCCCTGGTGGTCTTTTGGGGATCTTGAAATCTGCGAATAACAGGGCAGCTGAAGGAAAGGGCTGTGTCAGGATGCTGCCTTCTTCCCTTTCTTTTCCCTCTTTTTTCTAAACACTCCCATGCCTTGTAGTTCTTTTGCTTTCTCTTCTTTTTCTCTCTACTACCCTCCATCTTCGCCTCCTCCTCCTCCCCGGTAATATCCATATCAGCCGGAAACATATGCTGTGCAGATGTTTCATTAAAGTAGCTTAAAATATAGGGTGAGAGGTGGGGAGCTGATATAGGATTAAGCCTCAGACTGACCTGTTAGCATAATCACAAACAAGTCTTCTTCCGAGTCTTAAACAACCCAATTCGAGAGGTGGCCGCTGATTTACACACTCTGTCAATTAAAAAATAAAAATGGGGGAATTTTCCGGGAGCCGGTCCACCCTTGCTGCAGGGAAGAAACATCTGCACAGCATATGTTTC